TATCTTATCCAGCTGTAATTCATTGAGAAAGTACGCGAAGTCCAACAACACTTCCTAGAGACAAATCTCGTGAATATACAGTTCTCAGTTCGTGGAATTGGAAATAGCTGGTTCCCCAAAAAGACTTATAAAATATTTGAACTGTAACGATTCTGGTTAGAATCTATATAGTCTTTAATGGACAGGAAACAAATTAACAGTAAGATTAAAATTGAGACACTTTAACACCATGAATAGGAAAAAACAGGGCGTTCTGTTGTAACTATTACCTATACTAAGGTGTATAGAATTTCGACTATAAATACGAAGGTTTACAGATAACCTAATGTTAAAAGTATCAGTGTTTAATCTAAGTAGACAGAAGTATTCCTACCATAAGCTTCATTTATTTATAGATTTCCTATTGTGAACATCATATATATTAAAATATCAAACTGCCCTACTGTTGTGATATTCTTCGCTATTAAATACTTAACACTAATGAATCGACTCTGTAAGACAGGAATTCCGAATGATTTAATTAGTGAAATTGGTAAGAACTTACTAGTAAGAAAAAAAGTATGTACATGATCATATAACAAACAAAAATCAATATTTATTCATCTTCAGACAACTGTCTAAAGGAAACACCACAGAGAGTACCTACACACAAAGAATGTTCAATATAAGTAGGAAATCTACAAATAAGTCAACAGGGAAGATTTGGAGTTGTAATGCTTTCACATAATCGCCCCTCCCAGTGGCACAGCGGTATGTCTGCGGAGTTACAACGCTAGAATCCGGGTTTCGATACCTGTGGTTGACTAAGCTCAGACAGCCCATGGTGTAGCTTTGTGCTTAATTACAAACAAACAAACATAATCGGGCTATAAAACAGCAAGATAACGCCTTTTTAAGTAAGTTCAACAGCCAAACTGATCTGCGAAATATCGTCACTTCTGATAAATAATCAATCACATATAGCAGAGGCTTCCAAACTGGGGACCACAGGAAATAATCAGAAGAGCCTTAATAAATACACAAAATAAGCAATACTGTTAAGATGTTCAGTATCTATAAATCCATTGGATTGGAGGCCTCAGTCAGGATACAGAGTGTTCCGGGAGGGGTGGGGGCTTGTGCTGATAAAGTTTGGGATCCCATGATACAGTGTACTTTGTGATAGTGTAAGATCAGTAATTCCACAAGACCAGATTGATTGTTACCAACACCCATAGATCATTGAGAATACAGAGACAATCTATACTGGGAGTACATACAGAGGTGATAACTACACCTTCATATTCACGAAAGATTATTAACTGTTTTGCCAATTCAAACTGGAACCACAGGCAAAGTACTCAATTCTGAGATCTTATCTGAACTGTAGGACGATATAGTTTGAGATATTAATACGTTAATCTCCCCTCTTTTTTTTAGTTTGTCCTTGAGCTAAATTAAGGTTAACTCTTGTTATTAAACCAAAAATTACCTCAACCCATCACGATTCACCAATTCACGATTCTAAGTTAAGACATAAAAAATCCTTCAAAATCATAACAAGTGAAATAAAATATGAATAATATTTTCAATTCGAGTACACACGAAACATAAGGATTAAATATTAATATAATTCTTACTGGAAAATATTGCTACATATAAATGAATAAACAAAGCTCTTTAGACAAAAGGGAAATTACAAAATGCCAAATAAAAACTAAATTCATAACAACAGAAATTATTGTTTGTTTGTTTTGAATTTCGCACAAAGCTACACGAGGGCTATCTGCGCTAGCTGTCCCTAATTTAGCAGTGTAAGACTAGAGATTACTAAAGATTACAAGAGAGAATTGGACATCTGATGCTTTCATAAAATTGGGTTATAAAACTGCAAGAGGAAGGATAGTTATATAAGAAAATTATTAAATGATGAAGAGTTAAAAACACAATACTTCAAAAAGAGTATCCAAGAGAGCAGCAAGCTCCAAAACCAAGCCACAAACTAATATATGTGCACAATCCAGCCAAAGTTAAAATATCAAACAGTTACGCTTATTATTATTTTCATAAGAAAAACTTCACAAACTTCATTATCTTGCTTGAAGATTGAAAGGAAATCCAACAAAGCGGTGATGACGCTAGCACCCCATTTTTGATAGACCAAGTCCTTTCAGCATAGTCCTTGGTTGCTCTAATGTCACACACACACACACACACATATATATATATATACATAAATTTTGAACATTGGACTGCGGCCAGTATCATGACTTGGGCCTTTAGTTTCTTACAAGTTGCATAGTGGACAAACTTCTTAGGAACTGTGACTTCACTTTCTTTACCTTTTGTTCTTGCTGGAAGTATGCCCACATCTTGGCACATTCTCTTTGCTGCTCAGTGCATCTGCTGTGGTTAGACACTACACTTGTTGTTATTGTTTCCTTGGAAAAGACTGGTGACTACTGTTACTGATATTAGAATCATTTCTGAAATTTGGGTGAAGTTGGCCAAAACAGGTGGCATCAACTATAAGATTAAGTCGGACTTCTCTGCTTACTTCATGCCACTCACATCCCATTAGCAAGAACGGGGTGTATAGTAACTGGCAGGATTTTAAAGCCTTAGCTGCAGTTATATCTGAAAAAACAAACTCTACTTCATACTTCTGCATGTGTTCTAACACTAAACCAAGTTCGATGTGGTTAATACCAAACGGACCACCATATATGTGGGAGTTTACATTTTCCGAAGTCAGTAGTCAGTATCAGCTTGAAACCTTCTAATTTAAATGACAGGATGTCAATGACTCTTTGCTGCTTCACGTTGGTTGAATGCTAAGATATATTCACACGTTGATAATAAATGAATTAAGGACGGTTCTGCCCACAGTTGCAACAATCTCCGCCATCTCTCTCTTATTTAGAACATCAGACAGCCTCATCATCAAGTTTGATGTAGCCACATGGCTCGGACATACATAGGCTGGCTTAGGGTAATTTTTGCTACCAGTGGTGAAGAAAGAAATCCTCTGATTCAAAACCCCATTGCAGTAGATGTGAGTATAGCTCCTGATATTGTTATAACAATGATTTGATGTTGATCAAAGTTCGCAAGCTTCAACCCTCACCATGAAATCAATGCTGTTTTCATGGTAAAGATGACCAAGAAAATTTGAATTACAGCAATTCCATTTGAATATGTATCTGTCAAATTTCCTGATGTAGCTCCAATAGATTTCTGTACAATTGGTCTACTTAAACTTGGTCTTCGTAATCAGCATTAAGATACTATGGAGGGTCTGTGGAAAATTTGCCAAAATGTGTAGTCTAAGAATGATTTTACCATTGACAGTATGAAACGTGACACAAATATATAATGTTTCATTAGCTCGCTTGGCTTCACTGAAATCACACTGTAAAAAAAAACACCTTTATTTAGATGTCCAAAAGTCATTCTCTTAACAGCAGGCCGATAGTTAGTAGGTCAGGCTGCGGATCGAAGGGTCTTAGTTTCGAGATGTGAAGTCTCTAAACACGCTCTGCACTTTTATTTGTTGACGCTTGGAAAGGTAACTGTCAATCCCGTTATTAGGTTCAAAGAGCCGAAAATATCCATTGTAACGCTGGGTGCTGCTACCTGGTTGTTCACTTTTTAGTTTGTATTCAAATTTATTGGTGGGTATACATGACCTGACTGTTTAGCCCATGTGTGCATATCATGCCGTTCAGGTTAAACATTTCAATTTCAGTTAACATTATCTATATGTATAGATGTATTTGTGTTCTTGCGTTAACAGTATTTGTATTTTGATGTACCAAAGTAATTCTGTTAATAATATTTGCATTTAGATGTTTCCCCCGCTGGTACAACGGTATGTCTACGGATTTGCAACGCTAAAATCGGGGGTTCGATTCTCCTCGGTGGGTAGAGCAGAGAGCCCGATGTGGTTTTGCTACAATGCACATACGCGTTTAGATGTACTCTTATTGTTCTGTTAACAATATCTATACTTTTATTTACAGATGTTTTACTGGGAATATTAAGTACTTCTAGTTCTACAGAATTCGCACAATGAACAATCTGTTAACTTGATTGCTCAGAAGTTCTTTTAACAGTACCTGTATTTAATTAAAAGTACAAAAGTCATGCTGTAAATATTACTCGTGATTAGACGTAGAAACTGTCTAATTTGGCCAGTATCTTTATTTATATGTGCAAAGATCATGTTATTATGATTATGAACATTTAGGGAGCTAATAATACCCTAATGTGAACACAGTTATAAAATAGTGTCAATGTTTCGGCATACAAAAGTCCCACCAGGGCCATATCTGTATTATGGAGTTACGCAGCAATAAAAGTACTATTAACTGTAGAGCATCAACCGGTGTTTTTTTTATTATATTAAAGGTTTAAAGAAGCTGAAGTTTAAAGTTTGAAGTAATAGCATGCGCAAGGCTGCTACACTTCTCACGTGGAAGACAATCAACAATAATGTTTGACAAACTTTAATATATTTTTTCCGTTGTACGAAAATATTTATTTAAGCTCCTTATAGGAAAATTTGCGTTGAGACCAATTCAGTTTTGTTGACCATAAATAGTGGAATGATAAAGCTGATTTACAACAAATCAAGGTTTGCGTAAAAAATCCTGTAAACACTCTGTAAACATTTCTCACAGCGCGTTAAAGAAAACAATTATTTAAGGGTTCACTTACCCTTTCTAATCTTTGAAAAGTTTTGAATATTCGCTAGTGTAACTTCTTCCTTCTTGATTGTGTCTTGACCACAAATCCATTCCAATGAATTTATTGAAGACAAATGAGGTAATTGCAGTAAAAACGCAGCCGGACTTCATATAAAGATCATCAGTACTGTTGTACCATAAAATGTCAGACTGGAAGCCAGCTCGCCGGAGATCTGAACTACATGTTCTTTGCGCATGCGTGGTACTCGCTCAATGACTGCAGCTCCATAATGCAAAACAGAATCAATAGGGACTGTAAACGGGCACCGATTTCGTGCAACAGCTCATGTAAAAGGCTGTCCTAGGGTAACAGTTAAATTTCCTTCGTCTCCATCAACAAGATGAGTCAAACGAGCTGAAAGAACTTGTTGCTGGGCAGTCGTGTTTCTTGAATAGAATTTTTTTTAGTTTGGCTTTTACTCCATGTTTTGTGAAGTAATAAGTATGCAGTAGCATTATACGTTGTTTATCACAATCTATAGCAAAGGTAAAGTTTTTATAGGATAGAAATTTCTTAATATAAAGATCTGTTTTGAAAGCTTAAACTGTGAAAACAACTTTATGATGGCTGATAAATCTCAACGTAAAAACTGAAAAGTTCGAGTGACCTAGTGACTCCTTAAAAATGTCAGTTTTATAATTAGACGCTCAGAACGTTAGTGCCATTAAAACGTTAAATGATTTTTATATGGATTTTTCCTTTCAAAAATGATATCACTTCCGGTTGTCATTAAACAGACTACTTACATGCGTACGCGCACGCCGAGATTTCTTTATTTTATGCATTATCATTTATCATACCTATTTACATTGCTAAAAGCGCCTCTTTGAAAACGTCATTCCAAGAGCCCTAACAATAATATAGCAAAATGAGTGTATAATTTTTATGTTAGTTCCAACATGGTATGTAATTTGTAAACTAAGCCCGTCTTTATTTTATATAGTTTTTGTTCATTGTTTTTTTTTAAGTTGTTGTTGTTGTTGTTTTCTTTGCCCCTAGTGTTAAACTTAGTGATTTGTAAAGTAAAAACAAACCCTGCGTTTGAGTTGAACTTTCAGCTGACTAATTTGTTTTTGTTTTTTATTCATTTTAAAATACCCCACCAACCCCCCTTGATTGATTAGAGTTGCTAAAAATGGATGAAAAAAAATTATGCCTAAATCCTCTTCAATCTAACATTTTCACCAATAACTCCACCATAATATACTCATCGAAAGTTATATGTTGAAAGATTTTCTGCTGGTTATTTATGCAGTCGGGATGTCAAAATTATAAACACAAGATGCTCGAATTTCATTAAAAGTCATCATTCATGTCTGGATGGCGTGAAATTTTAGGTGATCATCAGAGAGTAATTTCTTCCTCGCAGTATAATATAGTTGATATTAACCTTAGTTGATCTTAACCTTAATTCAATTCTTCTGCACGGTATAAACTAGTTTACTGTTACCAGAAATCACATTTCTCACTAAATAAAATAAGAGTTTACTGTTAACATAATTTGATTCTTTCTCAAAGTAAAATTTTAGTCGGTCATTGTTTATAGTAAAATCTTATTAGTTTTTCCATAGATGGGAAGAAGGTATTTCACCCAGACGTCTTAAATAGATAAAATACTAAATTTATTTTTACATTCAACAATAGTAGGTAAGTTTTGTCGTCATCATCATTTTATTTTACGAATATGTAAAAAAAAATGGAGATTTGTACATATTAAAGTTTTTGTGTGTGTGTAAAATAAAAACATTGTAAAATGGAATTTAATACATCATATATATTAAATGATTGAGTAAAATTAATTTAAAGTTGATAATGCTCTATTTTGTTGTTATGATACACAGTTTAGGATTAGAAATATCTATAACTGATTTTGTAGTATATAAATAGCTGTGACATCGAATTAACCGCGCATTGCGACAGTAATCGTTATTTCAATGTATTTCATTTTACACAATGGAAATATTTCCAGGAAAGGAATGTTTTATAGTGGAAATGATATACAGGAGTAGTATATAATTGTATCCAAAATGTATTATCGTGTTTATTAATCGGATACAATAACGAATGAAAACATATAGTTAGTCGTTATAACGAAGCCGTAGGGACCGCCATGAATAAGCAACTAATAAACGCTCTATGACTAGTATCTTATTTTTATATGAATTTAGTAGAAAATAAGAGTAAATTCTTTAAAAACATGTATGACATTCCAATTTAGACATTTTCAGTATGTAATGCTGGAAGTATCGAAAGAGTAATTCCGTTTTTGAGATCCTTCCAAAAACCCTAAATTAGCTTTAAGATCTGTAATCCACATTTTCTATACAAATTCATTGGTTTTTACCATAATCATAGTCTCAGACAACACGATGTACTTGTTGTGAAAACAATTTAACTAAACTGTCCTCTAATTCCTTATAAGCCAGTGTTCGATCTCTTTTTTTTTCTTGTTCTTTTTGCTTTATGTCACTGCCATTTTCACAATCACTTCAAACTGCTTGTCGAATCTTAAAATCGTACGTAAAGCAGACTATGGTATGTTGAATTCTTTTGGCACAATGAATGCATTTGTTAACACCGGAATTCACTGCTTCAATAATTTCAGCTTTAGTTTCTAAAGTAAGTTCTTTGCATTTTCTCGTTTCATTCATGTTCATCGTGCAGTTATCGGCCGATGTATACCGACTTATGACTAAAATTTGAATAAGGTAATATTTGAATAGACTAACAGTCACGCGCATGATGTAAGTGTTATTGTGTTTGTTTATTGAATTTCGCGCAAAGCTACTCGAAGGCTACCTGCACTAGGCTCCACTTATTTACAATTGAGATACTTGAAGGAATGCAGCTAGTCAAAATCACCCACCGCCAACTCTTGAGCTACTCTTTACCAACAAAAAGTGAGATTGACCGTCACATTATAACACACGCAAGATGGTGGAATGGGGATTCGAACCCGCGATCCGCAGATTGCAAATCGCTCTCCCTAAACACCAGGCAGGTCATGTATTGTGATTCTATTTTTGCCCATAGTTATGAAAAATAACAGTGTTTTATAATTGATGTGTATGTTTTTATATTCAAGTTGTAGATACATAAATATGTTCATGTTGATATTATACAGGTACAAACAGTAACCATTCTTGATAAGTCTGGAGTGTTTACAAACTACAGACCGTAGTTAGCGAAAAATATACTGAAGTTTGTTATAAAAGCGAATTTATTTTTCCATTTTCAGACCTCTAATTGCTGCTTTATATGCATGATTTCGTTATAAACGTGAAAATTGAAATGTTCCTTACAGCGACCAACCGTCAGGAGCACTATTTCAGATTTAATTAGGGGAGAGAAATTCGTATTGGCAGTGCAGGGGCCGGCTGGGCACTCTTAGATTTCTAAAGGCTAAAATGTAAAATCAGTATATTTTGGGAAAATTTTGTCTTATTATTTCCTGTATTATCTAATAACCATTGAAATAGCTTAAACTACACATTTTATATATACATATATTGTTCCCAAAATAAACAAATGATATTAAGATATTAAACACAGAGAAGCATATGCTCTTGACCTTTCGTCCTACCTAAATGTCGTTCTGTCCAACCGATTTCTTACAAAATATTCGCTATAGTCGGGATTTCGTTGCATGCATTTTCCTTATAAAAGTGCTCGACTTTAATTAGAAAATATAACTTCCTACAACTCTAGCTCATGGTCAAGGGGTTTGAAACCTACACGTATTTCTTACTTGTTTATACGCGTTGTGCTTTGCAATGATCATCGTATCTCAAAGACAAAGGCCATTAGTAGGTATAACTTGAATTTTTTATAAAACTTCGTCATAACCAACACCTTCGAGCCTGTGAATTAAACAGTTATGAGAAACTTTTAGATTCCAAGGTCAATAATAACAGTGGTAAAGTATCGAACTGGCTAGGAGTGTGTTCAGGTGTGAACAAACAGCCCATCCCACTAACGCATATTTAGTTACTCCAGCATAAAAGAAAGTATAAATCTTGGCCAAAACATGACTTTACAGTATATCCTTTGTTTGGTAGATGGTACGCTAGTTTGTCCTTTCACATTGTACTGAGAAACGGAACCGCTGGCCACTCAACATTATGGCTGTGATAAGGATATTGATTTCACTGTTAACCTGCAAGTAACTATGGAAGATCGTGAAATTAATAGTTTATTTATTTATTCGTTCTCATCCCCGAACCACCCCTAACGACACCACTGTGGGAAACATAATTGTATTCCTTAACATTGTTTTTGCTAACAAGATAAATGTCCAGATTCTTGTTTATAATTGTTTTGCCATTAATTATTTCTTTTTATTTCTGAACAGCGTTATTAACACTAAACCCTTTTATTTCAAATCCAACATTTCTAACTCAACTAAAGTGAAACTACCAAAATAAGATCATCGAAAGCATCCCGTGACCACTATACACACTCACATCTTAACACAGGCGACTTCCTCAAGCTCATGATCATTTAGCCACTCAAGGTATTTCCTGCTGTTATCTAATGTAGCCACCCAAGATGATCGATCTTTATTTTCATGGCCAGTCCTTCCATCTAAATGTTCGTAAGCTACTAGTTAATTTCTCTTTTAAGTTTGTTACCCACGTTCTAGGAGGATATACAAGTTTGTAGTTATTCTTTGATTGTTTAGGCAGCATATTCATGCTGAAACTAAATTGAATGGACATCAGCTGCTTGTTGTAGAAACACAAGCGTAGAGGACAACGTTTCGAAAGTCTTCCTCTACACTTGTGTTTCTAAAATAGGCAGCTGCTGTCCATTCAACTTAGTTTCATCAAGTGTGTAGTTTTTTTCATTCTTATTCCTCTCCCCATGTTTTCGTTTCCCATCATCAGTTCACACGTCCATATGTTTGTTGATTTTTCCTGTGACCCTATGTGTAGTAGTTTCTCCATCAGTCTAACTGCTATCCAATTACTCTGATCCAAATTATTTTGATCACTTTGTTTTTAATTTCTTAGAAGCTGTCTGCTATATACCATTCTTGATCCACTTTCTATTCCTTCTTTCAATAAACTTCATTTTTACAACGACTTGTATTTTCTCTCTCCTTGTATTCTAATATCTATAATTCATGGTTTAAAAAAAGGCGCAGGTGCAGCTTCAACACCACAGACTTTGCCCTAGAAACTGTCGTGAACTTCAGCACCACAGACTTTGCCCTAGAAACCGTTGTGAACTTCAGCACCACAGACTTTGCCCTAGAAACTGTTGTGAACTTCAGCACCACAGGCTTTGCCCTAGAAACTGTCGCGAGAAACTCTCTCTCTCTCTCTCTTTTTTTCACAGCTGATGAGCTATTAAGGAGATAAAATCGATAATACCACCTCTACAGCTTGTGTTATAATTAGTTTCCACCTCTACAGCTTTAACTCTGTGTGATCTTTAATTTCCACCTCGACAGTTTTAACTCTGATTGATCTTTAGTTTCCTGA